AGATATAATTTCATTAGCAAGAGGCTTTACAAAAGCTGCCCATTAAGGCAGGAAAACTCAGAACAATAAATGCTCCTGTAAATTACCATATGGGGAAAAATCAATGGAAAAGGGAGGGGAAAGAGAAGTTAGCAAAGGAGAAGCAAGTAATATCAAGGCTAATGAAAGTAATTACTACATAATGTCTGTCCAGCATACTGAGAGGGAAAAAAGAAAAGAAGACAAAGAATCAAAAGTTTTAGCATTCATAAAGGAAGATCTCAAACTCACCTGATAGTGTCTCCATCAGTCTGAAATGAATCAGGCTTAGATCCCAGTTTCATAAACTTCATCTTGCTGAAGGAAGATTCAAACCCCTCTTCTCTTTCCACCACTCCGGATTTCACCTCCTCTCAAATCTACAAATATTCCACTAGCACAAATCAGTACCAAAATCACCACTAAAGGAACTCTCCACTAACTGAGCTCCTCAATGTTAAAAATATTTCAATTTCAATCTTAGGAAGGATGGATCAAAAGAAAATCATGTGCATTTCCTAGTATGACCGAATCTTTCACACAAAATGAGGCCGCATAAAGGGAGAAGGAATAAATGGAGATAGACTGATTTTTAACAAACTGGTCACTTGACTAGGAAGAGACCCCAAAGGAAGTGGTTGCTTCCTCAGTTGGCAACAGAAAGCAAGGACTCCGGGCTGAAAGGGTCAGCTAGGGAGACATGGACAACACACACTCTCAAACATAATATTCTCAAAACCAAAGACACCCCCACTTGCTCAAAACTGACACCACCGCCCTCCCCTTATTTGTTTATCTTATTCTCTTTGTTTTCTGTTTTCAAAATGGATCTATCTCTCTCTCTCTCTCACACACACACACACCTACAACATTACCAAGAACTTTTCTGGTCCACAAAAATCTCTAAACCCCAAAATCCAGAATCCACATTACAACTCCTCTGTTAAGACTTTAACCTTTTATTCCTATGCTTAAGTTAGAAAACCTGCAAGGAAAGGAACAGCATTTCTAGGTATGAGTTGCAGAAACCAACAAATTAGTGGACATGATGCAAATTTTAGAGGTTTTTAAAATAAAAAGTTGCTCAAGCAAACATCAATTCCAATAAAATTACTTCAAAGTAGAGAGGAGAAACTGGTAAATTTTATCATAATAAAAAATTCAGAAATGTGACACAAATATGAGCTCAAGAACATCCCCATGTTCTTTCACCAAAATAAAGCACTACCAACTGAACCACAAGAATTCACGCTCAGCTCGAAAACACAAAAGAAAACACCTTCCCTTTGCCGTTTTAAGACAAAAACAATGAAAGAACTTTAAATATACCCAATAACACAAAAAGCAGCATCACATCAACAAGATCATAATCTCATTTCGAATTATTCCTCAATGGTAAAGAACAAAAGAAGAAAACCAAAGAAAGGACTCAAAATCCACCTCAAACTGAACGAAAAAAAAACAAAGTGCTTGATTCAAAAATAGGCCATCAAAAACATGAAAAAGAGAAATAGATGTGGAGCACTAGAATCTGAGCACACCTTGGAGGGGTCACTAGAAAAAGAGCCTTAAAATGTCCCAAAGCAGCTCCCTTTACTCTCACTCTTCCAAGTACGAAGAATCCAACATCTATCATCAATAGGCAAAGAGCTAGCTGGATGTTAATTGTTCAGTGCATGAAGCAACCACTATTATCTTTTTTAGCCAGGACACCAGAAAAACACCAAACCAGAAAACAAAAGCCCCACGTAGCATAAAAACTACCCAGCCAAAAATCACATCAAAAAGAAGAGCTGGTCCTCATCTTTTGACAGCCATCACTTCTTCCAGTCCCCCTCTTAACATTTCCCACAAAAAGCCAAATCTCAGAATGTTCCCACTCTCTCTCTCTCTCTCTCTCTCTCTACACCTCTCTACACCTCTCTTTCATCTCCTTTGAATCAGCACCACCGCCCCCACCCCCACCGCCACCACTACAAATTCCTTACCCTCTTATCCCACATATATTCTGATTTCAACCCCTACCACCCTCCACTCCAAAAATCCAAACTTTCTTTATGTAAATAAAAAACCAAAGTTGACAGCCCTTCCTTTTTGGGTTTGGAGAATTACAAAAAACAAAAAAAAAAGAAGAACACTTTGCAAACTTTTTATTTATTTCACCTTTGTAATGTAAAAGAGAAGGGAAAAAGAAGAAACACAAGACGACCCCACCAAAGTTTTCAATCTTTGCTTTTGGTTCTTGGTTTCGCTGTCTACATTCTTACAACGAAATGCACGCCAATTCTGACATGAACAACTTTGGTGCCTCCTTTATCAAATACAAACTGACTTTCACTTGGCTTTAGTGTGCCGTGAGATGAAAACAACCCTCTGTTTACTAGATAACGACCCATCCATTCCCATCTCGTACTTTGATAATAATGGGATCCATCTCATTTCATTGGTGTATTCTTTTAACTTTTTTTTTTTAAGCTAATATGAATAAGAGAAGAAGAAATACCTGCGAAATATAGCATTGTTTTTCTTCTTTGTTTTCTCGTGATATGTCCCAAACAATCGTGGTATTATGATCCGGGCCTGGGCCCCGCTCTGGGTTTCACGTGGCTTCATCATGGCCTTTTCTCTGAACTTGGACGCTTTCCATTCCCGTGCTTACCCTTTCTCCTTCTGCTTCCCCCTCATGTTTCTTTATGGTTGGTTTTTTCCTCGATAACCCAAATATTGATTGTTTGCTTACTACTTACCATGCCAAAACCCCATATCTACCCAACGGAGCCCCTTTTTTACGGGGTTATAAGTTGTGAATGTACCCAAAAATAATGCTTTAAGGTTAATAGACACTTAATTAAGAGAATTATTTGATGTATAATAGTTAATAACTTCGACTGAATTAAAGGTGGATTAGGATTAGGTAATATTGAAAAATGCATGTCCTTTTATGTAAGTACCAAACTACTTGTCCATATAAAAGTATGAGGAAATTATGAGGAATAACTTGTATTAATAAGAGCATTTTAAAAATAATATCAAAATAAATTTAATTATTTTTAATCATATTTAGTCATAACTTGATAAAAATACGTTTAAAACTATTTCAAATAAATTAAATCATTCATCACAATTTTTTCTCATTTGTGTTTTCGATTTATCTCTCTCAACATCCCACTCTCTTCAATTTTATCGATTTCTCTCTTCGATATTCGTCTTCTATGCTTCTGATTTCTGTATCGCACTTTCAGATTTCTATTTTCAGTACTTTGAAGACACTAAAGGATAGTTTTGATATGCTTGAATGGATGACTATTTAAAGAGTTTAATTTTTAGGTATTTCAGATAAAACTAAATAGTAGAAATGATCACAGATATTTGAAATAGTTTTTAATTGGATCAATTCAATATCTAGACACTAATAAACTCAAAAATTTAAAATTTATAGACTTAGGTTTTTAATGAAATTTTTTTTCGATTTTTACTCAAAATAGGTATTTTAAATAAGAAAATTTATGTTTTAATTTATAAAAACATGTTAGAAATACTTTAATTGGTATGAAATTGTTAGAAAAATAAAAAATAAAAAAAATAAAGAGAGTTGAAAATATTTGAAGTTTTGGTTTGTAGGTAACAACAACAGTTTAAGCATTAAAGTATAACAAAATGTTTTTGAATATGACGTGTAACAACAATATTTTTCAACATGGTATGTAATAACAATATTTTTTTTCAACATGGCGTGTAACAACTTTTTTTTAACCATGACATGTAATATGTTTTTGTACATGACGTGTAACAACCTAATAATAACTTGTAACATGTTTGTACATGACGTGTAACAACTTAATCATGACATATCATACGTTTTTGTATATGGCGTGCAATATGTTTTTGTACATAACGTGTAACACCTTAACCATGACGTGTCACAATCTAATCATGATGTGTCACACGTTTTTGTACATGACATGTAACAACCTAACTATAGTGTGTAACATGTTTCTGTATACGGTAGGTAACATCTTGACATGTAATTTTATTAAGGATAATTTTACCCAACTTGATTAAAAATAATTAAAATTATAAAAAATTATTTTTAAAAATATCTTATTTTTAAAAATTATTTTTTAAAATACCTTTAAAAGTATTCATCATTGATTTAACAAGTATTGGAAATCATAACACCGGTGGGAGCTAGGAAAAGATTAATTATTAATGGACAGTAAAAGTTATCTTAAATTTAGTAGCTCGGGAAGCTAATTATAGATAAAATAAAATTTCTCATTACAATTTTATAATAATTGATTGTCCAACCACAATGATGAACACGCCTTACTACCTTTCCAGCCCCAAGTGGACAAAGTGTGACCACCACCTTTTTCCCTTATCCATTCTTTTATTCCCTTCACCTCACATGCAATGCTCCAATATCCACTCAATCCAATGTCACTAAAATTAAAAAAAAATTCAATAAAAATTGCTTAGATTTTATCATATTCTTCCTGTGAACACATCCCCATAATAATGCAATGCTTAGTTTTACTAATATTATTTTTTTGCTTCAAGAATCTCATCAGTTGCCCATGAACTTCTAAATTCTTTTCTTTATTTAATTTCTATTTAATGGTAGACTTTTGGTATGTACACCTGATAGCAGATTTCTTTGCTGAAAATTTGCATCAGTAGAATCTGTGCAGGGTTGGATTGGTTCTTTGAAGAAATGTCGGCACTCTTAATTGAATCCGACACAAATTTGGGTGAAAAATCTTTTTGAAAGATCCTATCAGTAGGGATTGGTCCTGTTGGGGGCAATGCCTGATAGTTATGGCTAAGTCAAAAGGACTAATTATCAGCATGGTGCAAATAACAAAATCTTGCCCTTCTTGTGGAAGACTCAAAGGACCCACGTTTGCCCATTTGGGTGTCCATATTTCTGTACAAAACCTACTTGTACGTATGGAACTCCTTTAAGACTTTAGGCTACAAAACCAGATATAGTCTTCTTCTTTTTCTAATACAATTTGACGACAATGATCTACATATTAATTTCATATTAATAATCTTTTGAATCTTGAAAGTGGTTAAGCTTTCTAGAATGAAAAAATGAAAAGGGTCATCTCCTGTTACATAACTTCAATTTAATGTTTTAAAACACGTATTTCATCATATATAGTATCTCTGGATGATCCGTTTTCATTTGAACATAAGATATTCAAAAGAAAAATGTCAAATTCAATGGCATATTTGTCTTGACATCTTAAAAATGATGCATATGTGAACAAAATATGGTAGTAATAATATTGGAGAATATTATTATTCATGGAAAAACCAAACAAGGACGACCATTTTTTTTGGTGACGTGCGCATTTGAAGAGAAGGGCAGGCATTGGTGGATGTCAATTTGTGTTCGGCCTATTTGACCCATGCCATGTGGTCTATTGCAAATTGAAACAGGCTTTGCCCCTGCACCATTTTCCTAGTCTACACGACTTTTCTTCTGAGGAAACCATCTTTCCAGCTCAATGGACAAATTCCTGACTTCGAGGGGACCAGCTCGTTCCCTATAGATTTTAATGTTTCTAACTCAAAAGACCCTTTAAGACTTCTTAGACAGACCTCATGTCCTGTTATTAATAAATTGTGAAGCAAAGACCGGGCTTCAACCTTAACTAGCAAATTTCTGTGTTCTCCCAACTGCCATTGTACCAAAAGAAAAGGTTGAACTAAAGAAGAAATCAATGTGCCCATTTACAACTCACCCGAAGTACTAATTTATTGCAGACAAGTTGATAAAGTAGGAGGCTTTGTGTTACTCAAATTCAAGTAATTATATCAAGGCACATGGCAACGGATTCTCATGCTCTCGTTAAACGCATTGGGAAAGTTGTTGTTTAGCTTGAACACTTTGAGAGGGAGAACCATGAACACTAATCATGATGGTCGATATTCTGATCAGTTGATAACTTAAAAAGCAAGATCTTCCCTGACATGTTTGTAAAGATACGTTTGATGGGTTTTAGCTTGCTAGATTCACTGTTTCAATGTCGCAAAAAAAAATGAAAGATATCTTTGTAATGGTGGTTCAATGAACTTGCAAAACTTGACCTCCTCTCTTCATGCCGTTTATTCCTTTCTGATAAACCGTTCTTCCAAGATTCCTATGTCATATGCAATTCGGCTCTTTGGATTGTAATTTTCTGCAGGATGGGAGTGATAAAATATGATTATATAGTGACTCCACAATCAGTTTTGGAATCTTTCCACATCTAACTATGATCATCAGGTTCATTCACCTGATGGACTAATTAAAGAAATGGTTTTCCATTTTTATTTCTTTGATAAGAATCTCATGCAGCTAGCAGTTAACAAGCTTCTGCAGTTGATTGTTCATAGCCCGAGGTCGTTCACCAGGTTAATTGAATCTGACAACTAACAAAATCAACACCGAGCTATTTGCCCTAACTGACAAGATGAACATCCGGGGAGTTCTACATTAAGGTCTTGAGATATTAGAGCTTAAATATACAATTTTAATGTTCAAAAACAAAAATTAGAGTAACTATGTCAAGCTAAAAGAAGTGAAATGTTTGACTGCAAGGTTGCATGAAAAAGCTGTAAGCAGTGACCATTAGGTTAGGGGAAACGCTGCAATGTCACTTGAGTAGGTATATAGATTAGGCTGATCAGATAAATTTATTGGAAGAACAGATCCCCACTTAATATTTCTCTTGACATGATAGTTACATGTCATCTAATCATAGTCTCTGTGACAAATTGACAATCCATCCTTCTTTAAGCTATATGGGGTGGTCCTCTTCCGGAGAGTTAGGCTTTTCCTTTTACAGCTACTAATATATACTTTCTTCGATCTCATTGCCAAACTACCAACCTAGAATCATGAATCTTACTTCTTTTTTCAACAGCTAAGCACACTCAGCCTAACCCTACTAAGCTCCTCC